CCCCTAGTGACCCAATCACAAAATTTTTGCTTCCTGTCTCTGCAACCCTGTGCTCTGTGGGTCTGGAAGTCTTAGTTCCAAAGGGAGGAATGCTTCCACCTGGAGACACATCACTGATTCCATTGAACTTGAAGATACGAATGCCACCTAGCCACTTTGGGTTCCTCATGACTGTGGATCAACAGGCAAAGAAGGGAGTTACTGTATTGGCTGGTTTGATTGCTCCTGATTACCAAGAGGACATCGGATTAATATTACATAATGGAGGTAAAGAAGAATATGTCTGGAATATAGGAGATCCCTTAGGGTGTCTTTTGGTACTACCATGCCCTGTGATTAAAGTCAATGGAAAACTATAGCAGCCCAATTCCGATATGACTACTAATGGCTTGGACCTTTCAGGAATGAAGGTTTGGGTCACCCTACCAGGCAGAGGACCATGGCCAGCTGAGGTGTTTGCTGAGGGTAGAGGGAATTTGAAATGGGTGGTGGAAAAGGCGGTTCTAAATACCAGCTGTGACCATGTGACTGGTTGCAAAAAAGAGAGCTGTAATTGTTATGAGAATTTATTCCTTTTATATGCGCATCAATTATTTTTGTTTTCTTCCCTTACAAAATATAAGATGTAAGCAGGACTAGTGTGTTTCCAGTTGTACATGTGTTAGTTTTATCATGTTAGTGCAAGTTTGACTTTACAATTCTTTTTTTCAAGTTTATGTGTGGTTTAAGGAGGTGTACAGGTGCAGAGTTGACAAGGGTTGGACTGTGGTGGTTAAGATTGTGTGTCAACTCGGCTGGGCCGTGATTCTCAGTGGTTTGGCAATTATGCTGTAGTTTGGCAGTTATATAATGATGTAATCACTTCCATGATGTGATCTACTTGAGCAGTCAATCAGTTGAAAGGGAGTTTCCTCGAGGGTGTGTCCTGCCTCCAGTGTATAAATGCATCTTCTAGCAAGGCACTTTCTCTGGATCCTGCATCTGGCTTGTCATCATCTGACCTTCAGTTCTTGGAAATTGAATTAGCAGCTTACCTGCTGATCTTGGGATTTGGCAGCTTCCGCAGCCTGTGAGCCAGCCGCCTACCATCTTACCTGTTGATCTTGGATTTGTCAGCCTGTGAGCCAGCATCATGCTGTCTGACCTATCGATCATAGGTTCGTCACCCCTGCAGCTACGTGATCCAACGACCTGGGACCTGCCAGCCTGACCCCTGACCCATGGCCTTGGGACCTGCCAGCCTCTACAACTGCGTAAGCCAGTTCCTTGAGCTAAATCTCTCTTTGTATATACATATATGTATATATATATGCTTCACTGATTTTGTTTCTCTAGAGAATGCAGCCTAAGACAGATGCAGAACACACGGAGCTCCCCAAGGAACCAGGAAACAGAAGTTAAATAGACAGGTACCATCCTCCCAGGTTGACAGAAAAAGCCTTCCCCTAGAGTCAGCACCAGTAATTTAGACTTCTAGCCTCCTAGACTGCTTCAGGAATTGACAGAATACCAATTGAGATGTTTCAACAAACAGATGTAGAGCTGGAAGCACTTACTTATCTAAGCCAAGAAGTTTGGAAGACAGCTTCCTGGCCAACCAACTGAAGAGATCCATACTTGTGCCCATTCCAAAGAAAACTGATCCAATAGAATGCAGAAATTATCGAACAGTATCATTAATATCACACACAAGTAAAATTTTACTGAAGCTCATTCAATAGCAGTTGCAGTGTTCCATTACAGGGAACTACCAGAAGTTCAAGCTGAATTCAGAAGAGGATGAGGGATGCCATTGCTGGTGTCAGATGGATCCTGGCTGAAAGCAGAGAATACCAGAAAGATGTTTACCTGTGTTTTATTGACTATGCAAAGCCATTTGACTGGGTGGATCATAACAAATTATGGATAACAGTGTGAAGAATGGGAATTCCAGAACACTTAATTGTGTTCATGTGGAACCTATACATAGACCAAGAGGCAGTTGTTCAAAAAGAAGAAGGGGACACTGCGTGGTTTAAAGTCAGGAAAGGTGTGTGTCAGAGTTGCATCCTTTCACTATACTTAATCTGTATGCTGAGCAAATAATCTGAAAAGTTTGACTATATGAAGAAGAATGGGGCATTAGGATTGGAGGAAGACTTATTAATAACCTGTGATATGCGGATGACACAATCTTGCTTGTTGAAAGTAAAGAGGACTTGAAGCACTTACTGATAAAGATTAAAGACTACAGCCTTCAGTATGGATTGCACCTCAACATAAAGGAAACAAAAATTCTCGCAGCTGGACCGATAAGCAACATCACGAGAAATGGAGAAAATAATGGAAGTTGTCAAGGATTTCGTTTTACTTGGGTACACAGTCAATGCCAATGGAAGCCGCAGTCAATAAATCAAACGACGTATTGGATTGGGCAAATCTGCTGCAAAAGACCTCTTTAAAGTATTAAGCAAAGATGTCACTTTGAGGACTAAGGTATGCCTGACCCAAGCCATGGTATTTTCAATCGCCTTATATGCATGCGAAAGAATATAAGGAATAAGGAAGACTGAAGAAGAATTGATACCTTTGAATTGCGGTGTTGGTGAAGAATATTGAATATACCATGAACTGCCAGAAGAACGAACAAATCTTTCTTGGAAGAAGTACAGCCAGAATGCTCCTTAGAAGCAAGCATGGTGACTTTGTCTCATATAATTTGGACATGTTATCAGGAGGGACCATACCCTTTTTCCCAGTTCTGACACCATCTGTCCCTTCCACAGTGCACTCTACTTCTCTGCTGAGTTTGATAATTTGTTGCAGTTGACAACAAAGAACTCACAGATTATACTTAGGATTATGGAGTTTATTAGGGAAGTAACAAGTTGCAGTTCAGGTTCAGGAATGCTCAGGATACAGTTCTTCAGTCAGGACAGCCTCTTAGCTGTGCCCACAGACAGGTCTCTCCCTGGCCCCTGGCCCCTTGGCTCCTTGGCTCCTTGGCTCCTTGGCGTGGCATCTGCCATGCTTGATAAAGTGTTACACAGTTCTTTTAGCTATGCCAGTTAAGTGCCCAGAGGCACCCTGCTCCACTAGTAAGCCTTGGCCTGAAGGTGCTGAGCTCTGGCTCCGTGTGTCAGCAAACCTAGCTCAACCAGGTGCCCAGAGGCATCCTACTCCACTAGCAAGCCTACTGCCTAAAGGCACTCAGCGTTCTCACTTCGCGGGCTGGGAAGCCCACTGCGCCGGCTCCTGCCAGTCTCTGGGTTCTATTTCCGCCGTTCTCTGCCACTGTGTCTCTTCCTCTCTGGTGTTACAGCTCTCCGTCTCTGTCTTCCGTGTTACAACTCCTGTTCTATCTCAGTGTCTCCCTTGAAGCCTAGTGGCATGGCAAAACCAACCAATCCCTTCGCTTGGGTTCCATACACCTCATTTGCATAGCCCCACCCAGTCGTATATACCATATACCATGGAATGCCAGAAGAACGAGGAAATCTGTCTTGAAAGAAGGATAGCCAGAATGGTCCTTAGAAGTGAGGATGGTGAGACTTCATCTCACATATTTTGGATATATTAGGAGAGACCAGTCCCTGGAGAAGGACATCACGATTGGTGAAGTAGAGGTTCAGCGAAAGAGAGGAAATCCCTTAAAAAGGTGGATTGACACAGTGGCTGCAACAATGGGCTCAAGCATAGCTACAGTTGTGAGGTGGCTAGGACCAGGCAGTGTTTCATTCTGTTGTACATGGGGTTGCTATGAACTGGAACCAACTAGACAGCACCTAACAACAACAACCCAGTCACTTGATGGGAGTTACTAAGACCCTGGCTAGAAGGGCCATATTAAGTAGTTCACTGCACTACAGGTCACCCCCTGGGTCTTCTAGCCATTGGCCCTTCCATAGTTGAAGTATTAACTTCCCCCGCCCAATCATTTTACCAGTCCAAGACAGCCATTAACAATTAGTCCTTCAATAGGGCAATGAGTCCTCCAAGTGAAGTGACTCAAGTACAAATCATTCAGGTCTGCTGCAGGTGTCCATCTGATTTGGTCAGGTTCACCAGAAGTTCATCTTGTCTTCACCCTATCTGGTGTCTGATAAAATTTAACTGAGAGATTATTCCCTTGCTCTGAGCCACAGTAATTAGCAGCATAGCAAAACCTTTAAGGGACTTTAGGTTTGGCTACTGTATTCCAGTCCAGCAGTGCCTCCTCCTTAGTACACTCTTTCACAGTTACTGCTTCTACAATTATAGTTTTTACAGTCACAGTTACCCCAGCTGACAATCCCCTTAGGCACCCTACTTACAGGTAAGGAAGCCCACTGTGCTATCTCCTCCCACTCTCCTGCCAGTCTCGTGTGGTCTCCTGCCAGTCACCTGGTTCTGTTACCGCCATTTTCTGCTGCTGGTTCTCGCCGTCTCCAGTGTTAACAGCTCGCTCTCTCTGTCTTCTTTGTTACAACTCCTACTGTCTCTGTCTCCTTTGAAGCCTAGTGGGATGGCAGAGCTGACCATTCCCCTTGATAGGGTTCCATGTACCTCATTTGCATAGTACCATGCAGTTGTTTGGTGGGAATTACAGAGACTGGATGGAAGAGCCTTACGTGATTCACTGCACTGCATGTATGTAACTAAGAATTGTAACACTTGCCCAAGAAGCACTTGTGTGTGTGTATACACTCACATATATCCACCTACGTACAGATATACACATACATACTTGTTTGTGTGAATGTGATGTTTCTAACTTAGTAAGAGAATTTCACTGCTACTCATTATGGAAACTTTTAATTTGATGAATGATTTAATACATTGAATACTGTGATTGGATGGATCATTGAATACACAAATTCAGAATATTTTGTTAGGATTTTGAGTCTCATAAGGTGTTGAAAAAAACACTAGGCATGTAGTTGCAGCGTATATAGAGAAAATCAGCCTAACAACTTTCTTCACATTTCAACCATTATCATCAAAAGAAAGTAACTTCATGAAATGGAACCCTGTTATTACAGGAATCACTGACATTCAGCGATGTGGCTGTGGGATTCACCTGGGAGGAGTGGCAACTCCTGAACCCTGCTCAGAAGGACCTGTACCAGGACGTGATGTTGGAGAACTACAACAACCTGGTGTCAGTGGGTGAGGACAACTGCCTGTGTCACTGAGAGGGTACCCAATCAGTGGCCTTCCCTTTCTCAGCTATTGAAAGCTTAGGTGTGTCTGAAGTGGTAGATTCTCAGTCTACTTTGTGCCCCTAGTCAAGTGGGTCTATTCTCCCTACTCTTGAGAATATTGTTTGAATATTGTTTTTCCACAAATGTAACATTCTGCAGTCTTCACAAACCCAAGGTCAATTTGGTAAGTCTAAGATTCTCTGGTTTCCCATGAACAGGATATCAAGTTAGCAAACCAGATGTGCTCTCCAGGTTGGAACGAGGAGAACAACCATGGACTATATTAGACAAAAATCATACTCGAAACTTTTCAGGTGAGTGATCAAAAACCAGCAAGGAGGGAAGACTGTTGTAAAATGGTCGGAATAGTAGTAGCATTGTCAGAACCCATCTAACTTTAGGGGGGATAATAAGAATCAACATCAGCCCAAAGCTGATTCCCATGACGTGAAGGTCCAAAAAAATAATCTGTTTTGTAAGAATCAGCAGAAAGCTGTGTCCTATGAAATGGAGGTTGAAAATGTCTCAAATGTACAGCTTCTCCAAACTGGTGTACCACTCCATCATCTCTAACATCAACTACTTCCCCTATCCTCAGTACTCTTCCTCACATCTTTGGCTTTGGTAATTCACTGCAACATCTCGTAAAACTCAGGCACCGTGCTTATAATTAAGTTATTTATTAGGAATTGTCAGGGTACAACTCGAGATCAGGATCAACAGGAAGTAACAAGAACAACTCGGTATACACTTTTTTGATCAGGACAGCTTCTTTTCACGCTTTTCTGCTGGGCCCTGCTTAGAGCCTTCTTGGGCAAGTGTTACAACTCTTAGTTCCATGGGCTGGAAAGCCCCGCCACAGTGCTGTGGTGCTGGTCTCTTGGCTCCTGATGTCTTGTGCTGCTATCACTCTTGCTGCTGCTGCGCCTCCATCTCTCACTGCCTACAGTATTACAGCTCTTCCTTCTCTCTCTCTGTGTCTCTCTCTTAAAACTTCTGTCATGTAAGGTTGTTATATAGCAAGCTCCTTATCAATTTCAAGGTATGGTCCCCTTCAAGAAGACCAGGAACTAACCAGTCCCCATCAAGGGTTCCAAATACCTTATTTAATTTGTGAGAATTACAGATTTGTGGCCCCAGAGGGGATACAAATTGACCAATCTCCTCTCAGTGGCCCAGACACACTTCCTTTACATAGTAGGCTATAGTAACTTCATTTCTATAGTATATTAACCAGTTCATTCAAGGTGCATACCAATCATAGGGCACGCTGCAGCCCAGGAACAGACAAAAAATATCAAACCACAAGTTTTTTTTTACAGCTTACCCAGGAAATGTCAGTCATCCTGGATAAAAGTAACAAACCTTCTGGGGTAGAAAAGTAGGGCAAAGGTGACTCATCAGGGCTTAGGAAAAATCTCTCAAGCTGTTTTTTCCAAAGAACTAAGGCAAAAGGCCACATAAAGGAATTCATTTCACCACAACTTTGGAAATCACATTCTAGTGAGAGAAGGCAACACAACTGTGAAGGGTGTCTGAGGCTACAAAATTGTCTCCACAGTGTCTCTCCCATGTGAGACCTTTTCTTTGTAGGAGTTTAGTGGAAAATATACCCATCTATCTCTTTCGTGATCAGGTCCTTGTTTGACATCTTGATATTTTTATTTGTATAGTTTTCTTCATAGGATTCTTAGATCTTTAACTTCTCCATGTACTTCCACCACTCCTGCTATGAAATTCTTACTTCCTGGCCTCTCTCCTAAGATTCATAGCTGTCCTCTGAGCACAGCATCTTCCTCCCCCATTGAGAAATACTGATTTCACTTCCTAACTTCCAACCCCACCTTGGATGTTGTGCCCCCACAGTAAACTGGTCTCTCATTGTGCTTCTCTGTACTTCCTCAGCTGCTCTTTTCCCCCACTCTGAGGTGCTCCAAAAGTGCTGATTTTCATTTTCTAATTTATTCTTCAACCCTTTAAAATTTCCTTCATTCTAATGAGTTAACCTCCTTCTCTTCCCTAAAGGAGGCTGTCGAATTGACATCTCCTTTGATATCGTCTAACATAAACTTTTAAAAAAAATATATTTTACTATTCTGAAAAAACATTTTTTACATCTTGCTTTGAGGTTCCAGCATAAAGCAGATCATAACTAATGTCTATGTCAATTTAATTTCTTTATATATTTACTAATTATGATCTATCTCCTAGTTGATTGTAAACTTTACCACTGTCTTCACTTCAGTCCTTCATGAAACTGTTCTAATTCCAAAGCTCTAAATGTTAAAATGATTAAAACCTTTGTATTCATCTTCTTTTAAAGTACATATTCTCTTGTTCTATGAACTTGATCTCCTTCTCTTCTCTGTCTTTAAATCATATTTATATGCTAAAGTTTTCTGAATTGTTACCTCCAGTAAAGACTTTTCTCAAGATTTATGAATCCTTCTGAGATCTTCATTTTTGTACCTGGATATTTAGTAACCATCTTCAAGTTGATGTGCTTCAGAATGTTTGCAGGAGCATTCTATGCTTCAGTGATATTCCTTATCTCATTAAAGACAGTACTACCCTGTTGCTCAACCCAAATACTTAGCAGCAACTCTTAATACCTCACTTTCTTTACCTCACCCCAACCCCTCATCCCAGCAACAGTGAGCCTTCTCTTCCTCCAAATGTATCTTCATTTCCTCCACCTCTCCTTACTCTCTCTTTTAAACCATGTTTCACAATCTGCAGCTACTTTATCTTTCCTTGCTTTTTTAAAATGATTTTACCAAAGTACAATGTAGGCTTCGTAAGCATAAAGAATATGTTTGTGTACCACCAATAAATTTACTATGTACATGTGAAATTTGTTTTGTCCCAGTTGTAAAATTCTGCATTCTTCAGAAGCCAAACTATGCCTGCTGCATAGCTGTCATTTGGTAAGGATTTACCAAAGGAATGAATGAATCTTTCCTTCCTCAGTTTGGATCAGGCCTTCCAGCCTCTGTGATCTTCTATTCGCAGGGATTTACTTGTATTTTATGGTCTCTACAAGTTCCTCAAGGCCGAAGCAGCCAAATCTGTATTTATTGTTATGTATGATCTAACCTTGTTTCTATACTAACTACTTCTAAGTTTCACTTGTTTATATTTTTATGTGTTTACTAGTGTGCAAGGAACATTAAACGTGGAGTTTTACTTACAGTCATACCATAGGATTGTCACTAAAGAGCCACCTTACATCAGAGCATTTTTTAATCAATTTAATCCTAATGGAGATGATGGAAGGGCTAATTGTTCTCTTTTTTTCCTAGAAATCTGGAAAGTTGATGATCATCTGCCTGGGCACTGGCAAAACAAAAGCAGGGTGGACAGCATGAAAGAGTGCTGTGAACATAATGCATTGGAAAATATTGTTCATCAGCACAAAAATCATTTTCCTTTAAGGGAAAATCATGGTATGGTTGACCTACATGATAAAGCTGTGACATCAAATGTAACTTTAATCAACCAGACCAAAAGCTATGAAATAAAGAACTCTGCTGAGCTTAACAGAGTTGAGAAAACTGTTCTCCATGCTAACCCTGAGCAATTTGGTACTGAATCTAAATTCCTTGAGAGTTGGATATCCAACACCACTAAATCCCAATACATTAAGCACCAGAAAACTCACAAGATAGAGAAACCGCATGTATGCAGTGAATGTGGGAAAGGCTTCATCAGGAAATCTTTCCTCACTAATCATCAGATCATTCATACAGGAGAGAAACCACATAAGTGCAGTCTCTGTGGGAAAGCCTTCTCTAAAAAAGTCAAGCTTGCTGAACATTATCAGACAACTCATAAAGGTCAAAACCCATATAAATGCATGGAATGTGGCAAAGCCTATTTGTATGAATCAGGTCTCGCTAAACATCAGAAAACTCATAGGGGGGAGAAACCCTATGTATGCAGTGAATGTGGAATAGGCTTCTTCGAGAATGCAGATTTCATTATTCATCAGCAAATTCATACTGAAGAGAAACTCTATATATGTAGTGAATGTGGGAAAGCCTTCTCTAAAAAATACAAACTCATTGCACATCACGAAAGAATCCATAAACGACAAAAACATGAATGCCCAGAATGTGGCAGAGCCTTTCTCTATAATTCACAGCTCAGTAAACATCAGAAAAGGCATATGGCGGAGAAACCCTACATATGCAGTGAGTGTGGAAAAGGCTTCATTGAGAAGTCAGCTCTCATTATTCATCAGCGAATTCATACTGGAGAGAAACCCTATATATGTAGTGAATGTGGAAAAGGCTTCATCCAGAAGGGAAATCTTGTTATTCATCAGCGAACTCATACTGGAGAGAAACCCTATATGTGTGGTGAATGTGGTAAAGGCTTCAGCCACAAGTCATGCCTCATAGGACATCAGAGATTTCACACAGGAAGGAGTCCCTTTGTATGCAGTGAATGTGGAAAACCTTATTCCAAGAAGTCAGGTCTCATCAGCCATCAGAAGATTCACACAGGAGAGAAACCCTTTCAATGCAGTGAATGTGGGAAAGCCTTCAATACGAAGCCAAAGCTCATTGTACATCAAAGATCTCATACAGGAGAGACACCATATGGCTGCAATGAATGTGGAAAAACTTTTGCCTATACTTCTTCCTTTTATCTACATAAAAGAAAACATACAAGTGAGAAACGTGTAGAATCAATCAAGATGGAAGACTCTTCCACACCAAGTCACAGCTCATCGCATACCAAGGATTTCATGCAGGAGAAAAGCCCTGTTAATACAGTGACTATGCAGATACCTTCTGTGACAGTTCAGCCATCAGTAAACATCAGTGGGCTCCCAACTAATGGGAATATAGTCCTTGTGGGACAGCCTGTTGCCAGATGTGAACCCTCCGGAGATAACAGAGAATTTCCACAGGAGAGAAACCTTATGAATGCAGTGAATGTGGTAGTGCCTATGAGTGCAGTGAATGGGGTAGTTCCTTCAGTGATGAATTATATCTTATTTTATGCCACACAAAACCTATAGCATACACTCGGATACGTTCACTGAGGAATAGGGATGAGCACAAATTTCTTCATCATTATATAGCTACAGAATGTATCCTGAGGGAAATCATATGAATGCAGACACTGAGAAAACATGAAACACTCATTCTACATAAATATGTGCATTGATATCAAGACATAACATAATTTTAACCTAAACACATACACATTGATTTACTCATTGATTAAATGGATGAAAGTCCAAGATCATGTCATAGGACAAAATAATTAATATGAATTTTTAAAACACAAAAGATAATTCGTGTCTGGAATGTTGCTTGTTGTTGTTGTTAGTTGCCGTCGAGTGGATACTGACTCATGATGCTTCCAAGTGTTATAAATGAAAATCACATAGGAAGTGGTTGGTGGGTAAAGGGCAGTATTGGATTGGTCGGAATTGGGGCACGTAAGTATCAGTTCAGTTTGTCCAGATTGGTGTGAAGGATCAGTTGAAAACCAGAATGTCTACCATCAATTTTAGAACTTTATATTATGTAGAGGGACTTAATGAAACAATAGACCTACATTGAGTCTATTCATGAATGTAAGGAATATTTGTCACATACTGCCTTTGTACCTGGCCCTGTTTCCGGGACTTGAGGATACAGAAGTGAATAAAAAAGAAAAAGTCCATGCCTTCTTGGAAACAGGATTGAGTTAGTTGGATTATATTTAAGTGGAATCTTGACACTCAGGCTTATCAAAGGATGATGCAGTATCTACATTAGGTGAAATAGACATGGAATAATTGGTACAAGGGGTTTAGTTAGAAGTTTTGGGAGTTAGAAAATCCTAAAAACTTCTTATGACAATTTCTTGTCAAAATCTAGTTGCCATTGAATTGATGCCTGCTCATGGTCACCCTATGTGTGTGAGAATAGAACTGTGCTCCCTAGGGTTACCCATGGCTGGTTTTTCAGAACTACATCACCAGGACTTTCTAGACACATATGGGTGGACTCAAACCTCCAACCTTTTGAGTTTGCAGCTAAGTACATTAACCATTTGCACTACCCATGGATTCTTGGGGTAAGGACCCCCTTTAATGGTACTTAAACATTCTAGGAAACAAGGTATATATTTTAATGCTTATGTCTTATCTCCATAAAGAAATTATGAATTCCTTGATAGTTTTTGTGACTGTTGTGGTGAACTGAGTTCCTTTATGTGGGTTTTAGCCCTTTTTTTTTTTTTAAAAAAAAAAAAGCATAGGTGATTTTTCCCCGTAAGCCCTTAGGTGTTGTTACCTTTGTCCTAATCTTTTGGAGAAGCAATGTTGAGGGTTGGGTCTCCTGGGCTGTTTTCTTCGCAAATGTGTTTGTTACTTTTGCCCAGGGATTGCCTTGGTTGACATTTCCTGGGTAAGCTGTAAACAACTTGATGGTTTGATAGTTTTGTCCCAGCCTTTCCTGGTAATTAACAAGTCCTGAGTTGATTGACGTCTCATAGGTAATTGAGAATTGGTTGAACGCTGGTCTGGTGAGGGGGGTCCTGTCTTGCAACTCAAGAGAATCAGGGTATATAAATGGATGGAAAAGGGAGTTTTTTGGGGAGACCTTCTGGGTGGCAGAAGAGATGCTGGCTAAGAGCTGGGATGGCAGAGAAACCAAGCCACATGGGAGCTGAGTGGTTGTGAAGGTGCTACACTGGCTTTGAGCTTGACCAGTTTGCAGCAGAGAGGCATGACGACTGAGAGGCCCAATACAGAGAGCACCTAAGAGCTGAGCAAGCTGATATATTGGCTATAAACTAGGCCAGTTAGTGGCTGAGAGGCCGAATACAGAGATGCTGGTGGTGGAGAGGCCTGATGTTAGAAAGCACCTGAGAGACCTGAGCGGGCTGCTACACTCTCTGAGCCACAACTTAAAGTGTACTGAGCGGAGCCAAGCATTGTCATATTTTAAAACAGAGAACTGTTTCTAACTGTGTCCATGAACTTCTTGCCTGAACATTGTCTCAGAAGCTTGCAAAAGAATGCACATTCCTGGGTCACATCCCAGACCTCCTAGAGTAGATCTTCTGGGCCTGAGGCCCGGGATTATGCATTTATAACAAGACTTTCTGCTGCACACTTAATTCAACATTTGCCAGCACAACAAATGCCACATTTACAGTTTCATAACTGATTATATTTTGCATGTAATGTTACCGTCATCAGTATCGTTTTCCAAACTATTCCACCACCATTAACCAAAACTCACCGCACCCCAAACAAAAGCTCCCCTTCTCCTTCATTCCCACTCCTGGTAAAGATTAATAACCTTTGATTTTTATACATGTACTTATTTCATGTGAGATCATACTTAATCTTTTGTGACTGACATATTTCCCTCAGCATAATGTTTTCAAGATTCATCCATGTGTAGCATGTGTCAGGACTTCATTTCTCTTTAAGGCTGAATAATATTTTGTTGTATGTATATACCACCTTTTGTTGATCCATTTGTCTGTTGATGGGTATTTCAGTTGTTTCCACATTTTGGCTCTTGTGAAGAGAGATGTAGTGAACACCGATGTACAGGTTTCTGTTTGCTTTCCTGACTTCACTTCTTCTAGGTATATTACCTAGAATTGGGATTGCTGGATCATGCACACTGAATTTTGAACATCTCTACCCTGAAGTTTGGATTACTGCTCCCCTCACCACCCCCATACTATAACAGGATGGATTCATGGCAGATACCTTTAAGCAAAGAATCAGAAATGGGTGCCTCACAAGCCATGGCCTCCCCTTCCCTTGTCCTGTGAATCTGCATGTGTGTAAATCTCAGAATCCCCACTATTCTGACATCAGCTATGAGCATAAACATCAAAACAAATCCACATTCTTCACTGCTGTTCAGTTCTGACACCAGCACTTCTTTCTCTGGCTCTACCTACTCAGAGCTAGGTCAGATTTCATGAGCTAACGGGACACAGTCTTTCAGCCCAAGACTCTGAGTGCCATGAGGCTGCCCTCACTTTTGACCTATTGAGTACAGATTCAGGTTTTCCTCCCACCCTTTCAACATGCTAACTGTAAGCCTGTGGACCCCCTACAGGCCTCCCTCACTTATGACCATCTACAAATAACCCCTTAGCATCCTAACTGGAAGCTTAGGGTTCTCCAGTAGACTCATTTCTGAACTGGTGGCTCCCAATAATTCCTTGAGTTTGTTAATTTACTAGAATGACTCATACAGCTCACTGAAAGTGCTGTACTTACCATCAGAGCTTTATTATAGCTTCTGTATCTCAAAGGCTATGCTACCTTCCGTCCTATGTGTATGGATGAATTTCAGCAACCAGGAAACCTATGTTTCTTTTGTATCCAGAGCTTTTATTGGTTTAATTACGTAATCATTATTGGGGCCTCATGGCCTAGGCATGACTGATTCATGACCACACATGCACACACACATGCTCCCCGAGTTCAGCTGCTATCAGGACACGAGGTGGTCTTTCTGTCTTGGACATTGCCCACTCATTAGCACAAGCCCTTAGATTTTGGTCCAGATAACAAAGGCACTTCAATCACTCAAGATATTACAGAATTTTTATCTCAGGAACTGTGAGCAAAGACCAAATTCCTTTAGTAAGGTTACTTGTACACCCCACACTGCACATCGTGTCATGGCAAGTCAGATGATTGCATTCTGTGAACTGATCAGGGTCCCAGGATGGCATGGCCAGGCCTGCCCTGAGCCCTGCAGACCAGGTGCTGAGCTCACCTCTCGAAAGCTGACATTCCAGGTGAAGAAAGCCCAGTGTATACCTATATCCGGTACACAGTCCCTTTCCAAACACAGCATCCTCATGGTCCTAGTGAAGATAACCCTTCACCTGTTTCCATATACTCTGTTCTTTCTGGGCTGAGAGGCCATATCATTACATAGTGGTTAGGAGTGCTGAAGTCACACTGCCAGGGTTTGAATTCTGCCCTGCCATTCCCTAGTTGTAACCCTTGATCAAGTTACTTAACTTACCTGTATCTTGATTTTATCTTAAAAATAATTGTCTGCCTCATACGGTGGTTGTGGAAAGTAGTTAAAATAGTGCCTGGCAGACAGGCAATCAATGAAGGTATTGTTGTTCTTATTAGTTCTTATTAGTATTTGTAAAATATTAGGAGTAGGAGTATCAGAACCTGTCTAACTTCAGGGGGGATAATGACCAGGATCAGCCCAAAGCTGAATCCCATGAGATGGTCAGATATACCTCCACACTCCAACCATTTTACCAGTTCTGACACCAGCTGTCCTCACCATGGCACTCTCTGCTACTTTGCTGTGTTCAACAATCTGTTGCAACGGCCACATGGAACTCACAGACTATACTTAGAGTTAAGTGGTTTATTAAGGAAGTAAAAAGGTACAATTTAGGATCAGGAAGCATGTAGTCACAAAGTCTCCCTTTTTCAGTGCAGAACAGCTCTCTCAGCTCCTCTTGGACATGCAGGCCTCCTCTCAGCCCCCTGAAGACAAGTTCATTGTGGCCTTGTTGTCTATTACTACCGACTCTGCAGCAAGGCCCCTTCCAGGCCTGTCACTATGAGCTCTGCTACTAGGCCCCTCTGAGTCTGTCACTGTCTTCAGTGTTACTGCCATTAACCCGTGTTACAGCTCTTTGAGGAGGTTCCCTGTCTATGTTTCTGCTTCTCTCTTCTTCTGATTCTTCCTGTCGCTACTCTTCATGCTTCTTTATGTCTCAAAAACCTCTGTAGGGTTGGCTGCATATATACACAAACTCCTTGTCAGGTTCAAGGAATGGCCCTTGAACCAGTGCCCAAACTGTCCAATCCCCTCTAGGTAGGCACAGACACTTCATTTGCATAGTCTATTGACCAATCCCTGCAAGGTCCATACCAATCACAGGGCAGGCTGTAGCCCAGGACCAGACGAAAAGTATCAAACCAAGTTGTTTACAGCTTATGCAGGAAATGTCAGTCATACCTGGACAAAAGTAACAAACCCTCTGGGGTTGAAAGCTAGGGCAAAGGTAACTCCTCAGGGCAGATGAAGAAAAGCAATTAGCCCAGATAAGAGGGAGTAATCCAAGTGTTATTTCTGAGATAGCATCAACAGGAAGTGGCACCAGGTGAAGATAACAAATGGTTGTTTTTTGGGTTGATCCTTTGATCTTTTCTCATCAACCTCCAATAACCTGTATTCTAGATTAAAAAAAAAAAAAAACCATTGCTGTCGAGTCAATTGCAACTCATAGTGACCCTATAGGACAGAGTAGAACTGCCCGCATAGGATTTCCAAGGAATGGCTGGTGGATTTGGACTGTCGAGCTTTTGGTTAGCAGCCAAGCTCTACACCACCAGGGCTCCATATTCTAGATAATTCCCAAAATATGCATTTTTAATTGTTCAGTAATGATGTCTGGCTTTGAAATCGAATGGAGGAGAAAAATGTTGAGGGCAATGGTGATTCAGTGGATGAATTCTTGCCTAGCACGTGGTAGGCCCCAGCTTGATACACCCAGCCAAAGCACCTCAAGTTCAGCCATCTCCCATCAGTGGAGGCTTGCATGTTTTATGATGCTGAAGAGGTTTCAGCGGAGCTTCCACACTGAGACTAGGAAGAAAGACCAGGCGATCTATTTGTTTTTTACTGGCCTCATTTTTAACGAACTTTCCCCCATATTCCACTCCAAATATAACCTAGGTTCATCCCATCCGCTCTTTTGCCCTGTCTGTGATGGTCACTCTCATTTTAATGCCGCCTTATCTAAACCTTTTTTTGTCCTTTAAAACCGCTTCTTGCAAGCCATTTTCAAGCACAAGATTTCCGTGGTTGTCCGTTTATTGGCTTTTTCCCTTTTATTTTCCCAGTCGCCCGTCCCTGATATACAGACACTTGAATGCCCACTCGTCTGTTTCTAAACTTTTTTTTTCTGTTCTTTAAACATACTGTTCAACAGGGCGCTGCCATATTCTTTTTCTGCCCCGCCCGCTGTTAACAATTTGATTGGTTCCATGATTTCCTTTGAAGCTCGAGCCTATGAAAATATATCTATTTTCTGCAAGGATCGAGGAGCCAGGAAACACCACAGTGTCAGTGACTTCTTGTCCTCCTAGCCATTTATTGCTACTGGTTTTAGAGCGGCGTTTAGTGTTCTGTACGGCGGATATTTAAATATGGCCGCCTCAAGATAGTTCTTTTAGAAGGGCGCAGACATATTATCTTGTAAGGCCTTACCGGAAATCTTGTTTACCGCACATCTTCAAATGTTATGACCCTCGCCGGCCCCCGTAGGCGAGGAAGTATTTTGTACGACCGGTCGAGAAGTAAAAGCTGTTCACGGAAGTAAGTGCAACTTATCAGAACTGTTCGTAGTTCAGGATATAAGCAGGTTAGTGCTTGTTTTGTCCTTGAAACAGGGTGGGGGAGGTTTGTGGACGTGGTGTAGTGAGGATTCATGGAGTTCCTGAGGGGAGCGCGGTGGTGGAGGTGTTTGGGGGCAAGCAAGTGGAAATCCGTGTTTTTAGGGTCAGATGTGGGGTGAGCGCCTTTGTCCAACGATTAAGGCTGGTCCGACTGTCAGGGTACGGGGGCTTTGCGAATCTGTCTTCATTTAAGGGGTGGCGGTGGAGTTCCCAACGAATGTGATGTCTGGTTCGGGTTCGAGATTTAATATGGGGCGCAGTGATGTTTGAACCGAGGGGAATGGACTACATACAGGGTGTGTGGTCCGGGTTTCGCATTAATATGGGGGTAGTAAGTGTCTGTGCTACAGCCACTTGTGAGGACAGAAGCTTTGGAATCCCAGGACTCCTGGCTAGTGGTTGAGTTGAGGTTGGAAAATCAGCTGCTGGGACAGAAGACGGTATACTCCTTGGGCAGTAGTTCCAAATTCTTGATTTAGATAATCATGTCTTTTCTTCTTTAATCCATGGATTATCTAAGTACAGACCTAGGAACTAATCCACAACACCCGTGAGTCCATAGCTGCTCTCCCATTGCAAACGTAGTGTAGAGTTGTGTCTGAGACTTTATGGCCCACAAAGCTGGGCATAACTTCACACTTTTTCCTTCACCAATAATCTGCATGTTGTTAATTTTTCATCCTTTTAGCAGTGTAACCCTTATCCTAGTTATTTGAAAGTTCCACATCCTAGTAGGTCCTTATTTGTCCAATTTCAGTTTGTACTGCTAGTGTTTAGGAAAGGCATAGAGATGAGTTTGCGTATTTAGCGCAATTTTAGCCAAGTATATATGTAAAAGTCTGGTTGAGGGGTTCTGGGTGTAATGAGGCATAAACAATCATCTAGATTCCTGAAGGATAAGAACTCAGGATCAGCACAGAGCTGGTTCTTGTGAGGTAAATATGATGCAGTGAATTATTTAATAGGGCCCTTCTAGCCACGTATGATTTTGTGACGCCTACAAGATGATTGTGTGGGACTATGCAAATAAGTTCCCTGTGGCCCACCAAGGGGATTGGGCAGCTTGTTGTTAATGCAAATAAGGTACATAGGACCCTTGTGGTGGTGAGACCTTACAAATAACGTTGCTGGAATCCTAAAGAGGATATTGGTCAGTTTTGCCATCCTGCTAGGCTTAACATGAGCCATCACACAGTCGGAAAAGGAGGACCTCTACTATCAGGAAAGAAGAGCTAGGAATGGAACATGTCCTTTGGACCTGGGATCTATGCACTGAGAACCTCCAGACCCAGGAGGCAGAGGGCTGTAACACTGGAGATGGCAAGAAGCTGAGGCAGAGAAATGGCAGAAGTAGAACAAGGAGACCGAGGTAAGGCAGGGCAGTGGGCTTCCTGGCCCACGGAGTGGTGTGCCTACAGTGGATGTGCTGATCCATGGAGTGAGAGAGCTCACAGCCTTCAAGCAGATGGCTTACTGACAGAGTGTGGTACTTTGTGGTACTTGACAGAGGTGGGCTCACTGACCTACAGAACAAGAGAGAGCTTGGTACATTCAGACAGGAGGCTTCCTGACTGAGTGAGATACCTCTGGGTACTTATTGGTGGAGCTAAAGAGCTTTGTAACACTTGCCTGAGCAGGGCAGGGGCTGAGGGCTAGAGAGAGGCCTGCCTGTGAGCACAACTGAGAAAAGGCTGTCCTGATCAAAGAACTGTATTCTGAGTTCTTCCTGATCCTGAACTGTAACCTGTTACTTCCCCAATAAACCGCATAATCGTAAGTATTATCTGTGAGTTCTGTGTGGTCATTGCAATGTATTATTGAACCCAGCAGAGAAGTAGGGACATCTAGTATCAGAAATGGTAAAAAGGTTGGAGTGTGGGGTATGTTTGATCTCTACCTCATAGGAATCAGCCATAGGCTGATGCTGATGATTCCTCCCCCCTGCCATGAAGTTACAGGTGTGACGATGCCATCACAGCATGTTTAGAGCGGAAGCCACATATACTTCGGCTTCCAATTACTTCACAGTTTCTGACAGCACCCATTCCCCCTGTAGCACACTCTACTGGGTTTGATAATTCTTTACAGTGGCTACAAGAACTCACAAACTGTGCTTACAGTTAAGTGGTTTGTTAAGGAAGTAACACAGTACAACTTGTGATCAAGATCAACTTGGAATAACAGTCTGTAACTCCACCCTCCAAACTTTTTACCAGTTTTGACACCAGCAGTCCCTCCCACAGCACTGTCTACTTCTCTGCTGGGTTTGATAATTCCTTGCAATAGCTACACAGAACGCACAGACAATACTTAATGATTATAGGGTATATTAGGGAAGTAGCAGGCTACAAGTTAGGGTTAGGAGTGACTCAGGATACAGTTCTTTGATCAGGACAGCTTCTCAACTGTTCCCGCAGGCAAGCTTCTGTCTGACCCTTGCCTCTCGGCCTCTCTGCCTCTCAGCCTCTTAGCCTCACCTCTGGCTTGCTCAAGAAAGTGTTACAAAGCTCTTTAGCTCAGCCAATAAGTGCCCGGAGGCACCCCACTCCGACACTAAGCCTCGTCCCAAAGGCACTCAGGTCTCCTGTGGTGCGATGGATCACTTTCGTGTGGCCTTTCTCACCATGGCCTTGTAACTCCTACCTAGTTGATTCAGTGAGGCTGTGCAGATAGGGTGATTGTGGCCCACCAAGGGAATTGGTCAGTTTTGCCGTCTTGCTGGGCTTGAAATAAGCCATCCCAGAGGCGGAAAAGGGAGGATCCTACCACCACCAAGGAAAAACAGCGAAGAGTGACGCATGTCCTTTGGACCCAGGATCCCTGCACTGAGAAGCTCCTGGAACCAGAAGAGAGAGAAGGCATACTGTAACACACAGTGGTGAGAAGTGATGCCAGAGAAATGGTTGGAGGAGAAGTCACAGTGGACTTCCCAGCTCATGGAGTGAGAAAGCTGAGTGCCTTTGGGCCAAGGCTTACTGGTGGAATGGGGTGCCTCTGGGCACTTATTGCCAGGGGCTAAGAAAGCTTTATAATACTTGCCCAGGCAGAGCAGATGCTGAGGGGCCAGAGAGAGGCATGCCTGCAAGCATGACTACGAAGAGGCTGTCTTCATGGAAGAACTGTATCCTGAGCATTCCTGAACCTGAATTCTAACCTGATACTTCCCTAACACTTCCCTAACAAACCCCATAATCAAGAGTATTGTCTGTGAGTTCTGTGTGGCCATTACAATGAATTGTCGAACCCAGCAAAAAAGTAGTATGTGCCATAGGAGGGACATTTGGTGACAGAATTGGTAAAGATGATGGAGAAAGGAGGTATCTCTGACCTACGCCTCATAGGAGTCAGCTCTGGGCTGTTGATCTTGACTCCCCTTCCCCGTTCTGAAGTTAGAGGAGGTCAGACTCTGCCCCCAAGCCATTTTTACATCTCTTCCCATCATGGGTCCACAAACCTAGCTCCACATACAAGTGCATGGAGGCACCCCACTTCACCAGGAAGCTTCCTGCCTGAAGGCGCTCAGCTCTTTCACTCCGTGTGTTGACACACCCACGGGCCAGGAAGCCCACTGTGCCATCTCAAGTTGATCTTCTAGTTTTGCTGCTGCTGTTTCTTTGCCACTGCTTCTTGCCATCTTGGACCATCTCTGGTGTTAGCAATTTTCTCTCTCTATCTGTCTCTGCTTCTAGGAGGTTCTCAGTGCAGGGACCCTGGGTCCAAAGGACCCACTCTGCTGCCATCTCTTCTTGGTAGTATTAAGGTACCCCCTCTGCTCTGGGATTGGCCCTCTTTTTAAGCCTAGAGTCATAGCAAAACTGACCAATCCTCTCATTAGGGTTCCATACACCTTATTTGCGTGGTCCCACCCCCACAAGGGTGCCATGTACTTTATTTGTATTATTAGCAAGCTGTCCAGTCCCCTTGGTGGGCCACAAACACCTTATTTGCATAGTCTCACCAAATTATTGTGGGAGATACAAGACCAAGCATGACTAAAAGGTCTGTATTAAATAGTTCACTGCATTACAATTATAGTTCAAATGTGCAGTCAGTATGGGGGCAGATATACCTAGATGTATACCTCAAATTGTATGTATAACTCCCAGCTAACAGGTGATGCTTGAAAATGTGGAAAATATTGAACAGTATCATTAATATCACACGCAAGTAAAATTTTGCTGAAAATATTTCAAATACAGTTGCAGCAGTACATTGACAGGGAACTGCCAGAAATTGAAGCTGGATTCAGAAGAGGACTTGGAACCTGGGATATCATTGCTGATGTCAGATGGATCTTGACTGCAAGCAGAGAATACCAGAAAGATGTTTATGCTGTTTTATTGACTATGCAAAGGCATTTGACTGTGTGGATCATAACAAATTATAGATAACATTGGAAAGAATGGGAATTCCAGAACACTCAATTGTGCTCATGTGGAACCTGTACATAGACCAAGAGGCAGTTATTTGAACAGAACAAGGGAATACTGTGTGTTTTAAAGTCGGGAAAGGTGTATGTCAGCGTTGTATCCTTTCACCATATTTATTCAATCTGTATGCTGAGCAAATAATCTGAGAAGCTATACAATGAAGAACATGCATCAGAATTGGAGAAAGGCTCATTAACAGCTGGCGTTAATGCAGGTGACACAATCTTGCTTGCAGAAAGCGAAGAGGACTTGTAGCACTTACTGATGAAGATCAAAGACCACAGCCTTCAGTATGGATTACACCTCAACATAAAGAAAACAAAAATCCTCACAACTGCACCAGTAAGCAACATCATGACAAATGGAAAAAAGATTGAAGTTGGCAAGTATTTCGTTTTACGTGAATCCACAATCAATGCCCATGGAAGCAGCAGTCAAGAAATAAAATGATGTATTCCATTGGGCAAATGTGCTGCAAAACACCTCTTTAAAGTGTTAAAAAGCAAAGATGTCACTTTGAGGACTAAGGTGTGACCGACCCAAGCCATGGTATTTTTAATCACCTCATATGCTTGTGAAAGCTGGACAGTGAATAAGGAAGACTGAAGAAGAATTGATGCCTTTGAATTACGGTGTTGGCGAAGAATATTGAATATACCATGGACTGCCAAAAGAACAAACAAATCTGTCTTTGAAGAAGCACAGCCTGAGTGTTCCTTAGAAGCAAGGATGACGAGAGGTGGTCTTGAGTACTTTGGACGTGTTATCAGGAGCAACCAGCCCCTGGAGGAGGACATCATGTTGGTAAAGTAGAGGGTCAGCAAAAGAAGAAGAAGACCCTCAACAAGATGGATTGACACAGTGGCTGTAACAGTGGGCTCAAACATAGCAATGATTGTGAGGATGGCACAAGACCGGGCATTGTTTCATTCTGTTCTACATAGGATTGCTGTAAGTTGGAACCAAGTCAGCGGTACCTAACAACAACAAAAAAAGTGTTTCCTAAAGCGTATGTAGTATTTAACAGTTTCTGCAGCAGAATGGTCTTTGCTTCATGTTAGTGTTATAGGTGGCCTGTTAAAAATATGTTTCAATACCGTAATGTCATCTTATCTTCTTAAAACTTTATGGATTTGCTTTCTTATTGAGAGTCACAGTTGAACAAGTTTGTATATTCGTGTATATTGTGAGGTAGAGATCAACCTTATTTTTTTCTTTCACAAGTGTATCTGATTGTCAAAGCGCCATTTTTTGAAAAGAGATCTTTTACCCATGTATCTGCAAATTCTGAATCTTAAGGTTTAATGCTCATGGATGTGAAACGTTCTGGGGCACTAAGTAAAGGGACAGTCAACAGTCTTGAGGGCATTGTGTTGAGATGATTGCCAAAAGCAGTGAAACGTGTACCTAGAGGAAATGTACCACTCACATTGAATTTTCCCTTCAACCTATAGGTCCTGACTCCTCAGCAGCAAGAGAATGAATTGAAGAAAAGAGGAAGATGTTCTAGGATTTGGGTATTGTCATTTCTGGAACACCCTTCATGGTAGACTGAAATTTCTGAACAGAAATTTAGAGCTGATCCAGAAAACAGAGAGAGCGTCCCAGGTGCTGGCCATGTCACAAGAGTAAAAGAAAATGGTCAAGGCCCAGGTGACTTTTAGTTTGTTTTATGCTTTATTTTGTCTCCTAATGAATTTGTAAAGGCCTGTAAAATATCAGTTCAGTTCATCTAAAAAGTATAAATTTGGAGAAGTCAGAGCTGGAGAGACGTAAACTTAGACTCTGACTTCAGCATCAGGCAAAGTAGGTTCAGGAATCTATTGTTCATGGAATTAACACTAAATATTGACGTTGAACATAATACGTACTGGACCATTCTGTGGGTTACGTTAGCTGTCAGCTAACATCTAATATTTCTCTGGCCAACATAAGAGAATCGTTATAATTTAAATGATATGCCCAGTTTTTGAGGAGAAAGAAGATCAGTGCCTCAGGTGATTTTAGTATTTTTATGGGACTTTCGTCTGAGTAAGTTTCTTTGATGGTTCTCCCTGTAGGTAATGTGGTGGACAGTGTCCTGAACAGCAGCATTCTCATAAAGCAAAAGTAGGTTTCCTATGGCTGTTTCTTCCAGGATTCCTCATAGACCCCTGTAGAAATAGACCAAGCAAACTCAGTGGTCACAGGAGACAAATGCAAGTTAACCTATGGACTCAGCTTGTGTTGGTCTAGGTTTATCTAGGAATTAAACCTAAACATCCTTGGTAAATGGAAGCAATGCACGAATTTCAAACAATTCTCCGTGAAGTGGTGTATGAGTAGAGTTTTGGAAGTAGGGAGTAGCTCTGTGACCCTCCACACACAGTTTAGCTATTGTACATCTGAGTTTTCATATCTGTAAAACGGGAATGATGATAAAGGTGCCTTATACGGTTATTATGGAGTTAGTCTATTTAAAACATGTAGAAGAGTGTCTGGTACATGATATGAAAGAGCATCCAGTGTCCCCAGTCTTTCCAATACTTGTTATTACAGTGTATCAAATGTCATCACTTTCAACAGTGTACATATTCAGATATTTTCCTGTCTTGTTTTCTTTTGGATTTTTCTAAATACTAGTGAGGTGGAGATCTTTCTTGTGTTGGCCAATTAGATTATTCATTTTCTGAAATAACTGTCCATATCCTTTGCTCATTTATAAATTCTGATTAGTCTTACTGATTTAAAGAAATTGTTTCTATGCACTATGTATTGATCTTTCTGTTTTGGAAAATATTCTTTCCAAACTGTCACTTGTCTTTTTCCATGCAGAAATTTTAATTTTGTATTAAAACTTTGTCACAAAATATCAGATTTTCCCTTTCTGGCTTTTAACTTGTGTCGTAAGTATAGTCTACATTTTCTTCCATTATTTTCATACTTTTTTTTTCCTTTTAAGTTTAGGTCTTGTATAATTTTCTGTTGGCTCCCAGCAAAGTGTTCCAGTGTTTTAGAGGCTTGAAACAACTCACATTTATTATCTCGCACCTTCTGTGGTCAGGAATCCAGGCACAGCTTCTCTTGGACTTCTGTTTCCTGGTCTCTCACAAGACTGCGATAAAGGTGTTGGCCAGGGCTGGGGTCTGATTGAGGCTCAAATGGGGAAGGGTCTTCTTTCAAGCTCACTTACTTGGTTGTGGGCAGGATTCAGTTGGTGAGAGCCTCAGTTCCTCACTCTTTTTTGGCCAGAGGCGGCCCTTAGGTACTTGGCCACATGGGCCTCCCCAACATGGTAACTTCATTGAAGCCAGCCAGATGGAAGTAACATATCTAATATGTAATCTATGGCATTCCATCACCTTTGTCATATTCTATTAGATAGCAGAAAGTCACGAGGGCAGCCCATGCTGAAGGAGAGGGGACTGTACAACGGTGTCGATATGATCATCTGGCTATCTTAGAATCTGCCTGTCACAGGTCTTTCATTCAATAAAAACATTTTTGAGTGCAGAGTAAGATTTTTGGATATTGCTTCTACCTTATTCTGTTTTCTCCTTTGGAAGTAATGAACAGGTATATGTTTGACATTCTCACTCTATTCGTGTTTACTAACCTCTCCGCTGCATTCTCTCTCACTCTCTGCTACATTTTCCATAATTTCTTAAATTGTAAATTATAGCTGATAGTTACAGGTTTAGTGCATTTATATTCTGTTAACTTGTCTGTTCATATACGTCTATAAGTGTTTGTGTGTATGTACGTGTCTGTGTTTTTATGTGTATATGTAATTTTATTTTTCCCAAATCCACCCAATTTTCTTGTCTGTTCTTTAAATATTTTTGACGGATTCTTTAATTCCTTTATACAGATTAAGCACGCTTATTAAGCATGTCCTTTCTTATAATTCAGATGCCTGGAGTCTTTGTAGATTCTGATATTGGCTCTGAAGGCTCTTGTTGAATGTAGGAACATGTTTTATTCTCCCGGCTGTCACTAACATACATGCATCTCTTTTCGTATACGTGGCCTAATATATATACACATATATATGTACGTGTGTACATATGTGCTTATATATATATCTACACACATACAGTCATGTTTGTCGACGTAAATACAGATACATGTACACATGCACACACGTGTATGTGCACATGTGAATGTGAGATCTTTCTTAGCTTAGTAAGAAGATTTCACTGCTATTCATTATAGAAACTTCTAATTTGATGAATGGGTGGATGATTGAATACACAAATTCAGAATATTTTATTAGGATTTGAGTCTCTTACAAGGTGTTGAAAAAAACACTAGACTTGTAGTTGCAGTGTATATAGAGGATATCAGCAGAACAACTTTCTTTACATTTCAACTATATCATCAAAAGGAAATCATTTATTACAGTAATAACAAGGAAATCCTGTTATTACAGGACTCCCTGACATTCAGTGATGTGGCTGTGAAGTTCACCTGGGAGGAGTGGCAGCTCCTAGACCCTGCTCAGAAGGACCTGTTCTGGGATGTGATGTTGGAGAACTATAACAACCTGGTATCCTTGGGTGAGGACAGTTCCCGTGTGTCACTCAGAGGGTGGCTAGTCGGTGACCTTTCTTTTCTCACCTGTTGAAAGTTTAGGAGTGTCTCTGGTGCTCTGAAGTGGTAGATCCTCAGTCCACTCTGTGCCCCTAGACAAGTGGATATATTCTCCCTACTCCTGAGAGAAAAATATTGTTTTTTCACAAATGTAGTATTCTGCAGTCTCCAGAAGCCCAAGGCTAATTTGGTTTGTCTAACATTCTGTGATTTCCCACACACAGGGTATCGAGTTAGCAAACCAGATGCACTCTCCAGGTTAGAACAAGGAGAACAACCATGGACTATATTAGATGAAAGTCATAATCAAAACTTTTCAGGTGAGTGATTAAAAAGCAGCAAGGAGGGAAGCCTGTTGTAAAATGGTAGAATGGTAGTAGTATTGTCAGAACCTGTCTATCTTTAGGGGGAATAATGAGAATAAAGATCAGTCCAGAGCTGATTCCCATGAGGTGGAGGTCTGAAAAACTAATTTTTGTGATAAGAATCAGCACAAAGCTGGTTCCTATGAGTCGGAGGTTAAAGATGTCCCAAATGACCAACTTCTCGAAACTGCTGTCCCACTTCCTCATCTCTAACATCAGATACTTCCCCTCCCCTCAGGACTCTCCTACCCATCTTTGGGTTCAGTAATTTGCTGCAACGTCTCACAGAACTCACGAACAGTACTTATAGTTAATTGGTTTATTAGGGAAGGAACAGGGTACAACTCACATCAGGATAAACTTGGAAGCAAGAGGAACAACTCAGGATACAGTTCTTCAGTCAGGTCAGGCTCTTTTTGCTCTCTGCTGCTGGGCCTTGCTTGGGGCCTTCTGCCACTGGGCCCTGCTCAGGGCCTTCTCAGTCAAGTGTTACAACTGTTAGTTCCGTGAATTGGCAAGCCCCACCGGAGCTGTCTTGTGCTAGTCTTCTGGTCCTGACGTCTCATGCCGCTATTGCTTTTGCTGGTGCTGTGCCGCTGTCTCTCACTGCCTTCAGTGTTGCAGCTCCTTCTCTCTCTGTCTCTGTCTCTCTCCGTGACTCTCTCTTAAAACCTCTGACAGGTAGCTTGTTGTATAGCAAGCTCCTTACCAATTTGAAGGCGTGATCCCTCCCAGCAAGACCATGAACTAACCAATCCTGTATAAGGGATCCATGTACCTGTGATGTGGTGGATCGCTTTTATGTAGCCTTTCTCGCCATGGTCTTGTAATTCCCACCAAATTGATTGGGTGGGACTGTGCAAATAGGATAATTGTGGCCCACCAAGGGATTGGTCTGTTTTGCCATCTTGCTGAGCTTGAAATGAGCCATCCCAGAGGCAGGAAGGAGAGGATCCCACCACCACCAAGAAACAACAGCCAAGAGTAGAGCATGTTCTTTGGACCCAGGATCCATGCGCTGAGAAACTCCTGGAACCAGGAGCCGAGAGAGAGAACTATAGCACCGAAGATGGTAAGAAGCGGTGGCAGAGAAGCGGCGGCAGGAAACCACGCAGTGGGCTTCCCAGCCCACAGAGCGAAAAAACTCAGTGCCTTTGAGCCGAGGCTTACTGGCAGAGTGGGGTATCTCTGGGCGCTTATTGGCAGAGCTAAAAGAGCTTTGTAATACTTGCCTGAGCAGGGCAGAGGTTGACGGGCCAGAGGGAGGTGTGCCTGCAGCACAGCTGGGAAGAGGCTGTCCTGATGGAAGAACTGTATCCTGAGTGTACCTGAACCTGAATTCTAACCTGTTACTTACCTAATAAACCCCATAATCATGAGTATTGTCTGTGAGTTCTGTGTGGCCATTGCAATAAATTATCAAACCCAGCAGAGAAGTAGAGAGTGCCGTGGGAGGGATGGTTGGTGTTAGAATTGGTAAAGATGGCAGAGAGAGGAGGCATGTGTGACCTCTGCCTCATGGGAATGAGCCTTGGGCTGTTGATCTTGATTCTCCTCCCACCTTGTAAAGACAGAGGAGGTCAGATGCCCCCACGCCATTTTTATACATCTCATTGTCAGTTTCAAGTTATGGCCCCTCCCAGCGGAGGCCACAGACTTACCAGTCCCCGCTCAGTAGACCAGAGATGTTTCATTTGCATATTAGGCTATAGTAGCTTCATTTGAATAGTCTTTAGTCACTTTATTTGTATAGGATATTGACCAATCCATGCAATGTGCATACCAATCACAGGGTAGGCTACAGCCCAGGAGCAGACAAAAAGTATCAAATCAGAAGTTTTTTACAGCTTACCCAGGAATCATCAGTCAACCTGGACAAAAGTAACAAACCCTCTAGGGTAGAAAACTAGGGCTATTGTAACTCCTCAGAGCTTAGGAGAAATCTCTCTCAAGCTGTTTCTCCAAAGAACCAAGGCAAAAGGCCAAATAAAGCAACTCATTTTACCACAGCTTTGAAGGTCACATTCTAGCCAGAGAAGGTGTCACAACCGTGAGGGGTGTCTGAGGATATATAACACTGTCTCCACGTATCCCTCTCCCATGTGAGACCTCCTGTTCTTTGTAGGGGTTTAGGGAAAAATATATCCTTCTACCTCTTCTGTGAACAGATCCCTGTTTATTTGACATCTTGTTGTTTTTATTTATATACTTTTCTTCTTACTAGGATTCATAAATCTTTACGTTTTTTATATCCTACCACCACTCTTGCTATGAAATTCTAACTTCCAGGCTTCTCTCCAAAGAGAGAACTTTGAATTCATAGCTGTCCTCTGAGTACAGCACCTTCCTCTCCCATTGAGAAATAGTGATTTCCCTTCCTGTCATCCTGCCTCATCTTGGATGTTGTGCCCTCACAGGAAACTGGTCTCTCATTGTGATTTTCTCTGCTGCCTCAGCTTCTCTTTTCCGCCACTTTAAGGTGCTCCCAAGGTGCTGATTTTCATTTTCTCATCTGTTCTTCTAACCCTTTAAAATTTCCTTCATTCTAATTAATTAATCTCCTTCACTTGCCTAGAGGAGGCTGTCAAATTAACGTCTCCCTTGATATCGTGTAACATAAACCTTTTAGATATATATATTTTACTCATCCAAAAAAAAAAAAAAATTTTTTACATCCTGCATTCTTAGTTCCACCATAAACCAGATCATAATTAATGTCTGCTTCAATTTAATTTCTTCATAGATTTACTAATTATGATCTTTCTCCTAGTTCATTGTAAACCATTACCAGAAGATGTGGAAGAACTAATTGTTCTCTTCTTTCCTAGAAATCTGGGAAGTTGATCATCTGCTTGGGCACTCACAAAATGAAAGCAGGGTGGACAGCATGGAACAGTGCTATGAACATAATACATTGGAAAATATTGTTCATCGGCACAAAAATCATTCTCCTTTAAGGGAAAATCATGATATGTTTGACTTAGATGAAAAAGCTGTGAAATCAAATTTAGCTTTAATCAACCAGAACAGAAGCATTGAAATAAAGAACTCTGCTGAGCTTAACAGAAGTGAGAAAACCTTTCTCCACGTTGACCAGGAGCAATTTCGTACTGAATCTAAATTCCGTGAAAGTCAGATACCCAACACCACTAAGTCCCAACACATTAAGCACCAGAAAACTCAAAAGATAGAGAAACTGCCGGTATGCAGTGAATGTGGGAAAGCCTTCATCAAGAAATCTTGGCTCGTTCGTCATCAGATCATTCATCCAGGAAAGGGTCCCTTTGTATGCAGTGAATGTGGAAAATCTCTTACCCAGAAGTCAAGTCTCGTTAGACATCAGAAAAGTCACAGAAGAGAGAAACTCTTTCAATGTAATGAATGTTCGAAAGCTTTCTCCACAAAACACAAGCTTATTATACATCAAAGAACTCATAAAGAGAGACGGCATGGCTGCAACGAGTGTGGAAAAACTTTTCTTTACATGTCTTGCCTTTTTAGACATAAAATAAAACACACAAGGAAGAAACATGTAGATACAGGCAAGGTGAAAAACCCTTCCCCAGCAAGTCATTCCTCATCACATACTGCTGATCTCATGCGGGACAAAAACCCTGTTAGTACAGTGACTATGCAGATACCTTCTGTGGCAGCTCAGACATCAGTAAACACCAGTGGACTCCTAACAAATAGGAACGTAGTCCTTGTGGGACAGCCTGTTGCCAGGAGGGAACCGTCAGGAGATAACAGAGAATTTGTACAGCAGAGAGTCCTTATGAATACAGTGAATGTGGTAGTGCCCATGAATGCAGTGAATGTGGTAGTGCCTATGAATGCAGTGAATGTGGTAGTACCTTCAGTGTCCAATTGTATCTTATTTTATGTTCCACAAAACCCGTAGGATAAACTCAGATACATTCATTGGGGACTAGTGATTAGCAAAAATTTCTCCTTCATTTTATAGCTAGAAGGTATATCCTGAGGGAAATCATATGAATGCAGGAACCAGGAAAGCTGATATACTCATTGTACGTAAATATGTGGATTCATATCAAGACATAATCTTATTTTAACCAAAACGCATACACATTGATTGCTCTGTTGTGTCAATTAAATGAATGAAAGTCTGAGTTGATGTCAGTGGACAAAATAACATGAGTTTTTAAAACAGAAAAAATAATCGGTATCTGAAATGTTACCTGTTATTTGCTGTGAAATCAGTTCTGATTCATGGTGACTCCATGTGGTATAAATGAAAAATCACATAGGATGTGATGTGTAGGTAAAAGTATTGGATTGGTCAGAATTGGGGTACATATATATCATTTCAGTTTATCCAGATTAGTGTGAAGGATCCATTGAAAACCAGAATGTTTACCATCAATTTTATAACTATATTATGCAGGGAGACTTTTGAAGCAATAGAATTCTATTGAGTCTATTGATGAATGTAAGCAATATTTCTCACATACTGCCTTTGTACCTGGCCCTGTTTCCAGGAACTGAAAATACAGTGGTGAATAAAAAAAGTCCATGCCCTCTTGGAGAGAGCATTGAGTTGGATTATATTTTGACACTCCAGCTAATCTAGTCAAAGGATGTAAAAATGGCACAGCGGTGGCATCTGACCTCCTCTAACTTCACAAGGGGGAAGAAGAATCAACAGCCCAAGGCTGATTTCCTGTGAGGTAGAGGTCAGACATACCTCCTATCTCTGCCATCTTTACCAATTCTGACATGAAATGTCTCTCCCGGCACTCTCTGCTGGGTTCAATAATTCATTGCAATGACCACACAGAACTCAGACAATACTCTTGATAATGGGGTTTATTAGGGAAGTAAGAGGTTACAATTTAGGTTCAGAAATGCTCAGGACACACTCTGATTAGGACAGCTTCTCAGCGTGCCTGCAGGCACACGTCTTTCTGGCTCCTTGGCCTCTACCCTGCTAGGGCAAGTGTTAAAAATCTCTTTTTAACCCTGCAGATAAGTGCCCAGAGGCACCCTACTCCACCACTAAGCCTTGGCCCGAAGGCACTTAGCTGTAGCTCCATAGGTCTGCAACCTGGCACCACCAAGTGGCCAGAGGCAGCCTTCTCCGCCAGCAAGCCTCCTACCCAAAGGCACCCAGTTTTCTCACTCTGCGGAAGCCCACTGCACCGTCTCCTCCTGGTTTCCTCGTTCTGTTGCCTCCGTTTTTCTGTCACCACCTCTGGTTCTCTTCAGTGTTACAGCTTTCTCTCTGTCTCTCTCTCTGGATCTCCTGGCTCCAGGAGCTGCTCTGCACAGGAATCCCAGGTCCAAAGGAAACACTGCACTCCTGGCTCTTTCTGGTGGTGAGACCCTCTCCTTCCCACCTCTGAGACGGCTCATTTTAAGCCTAATGGGATGGTAAAACTGACCAGTCCCTTCGTTAGGGTGCTGTAGACCTTATTTGGATGGTCCCACCACCACACAGGTGCCATGAACTTCATTCATATTATTAGTAAGGTGTCCAATCCCCTTGGTAGGCCACAATTATCTTAATTTGCATCTTGTTGTTGTGTGCCGTGGAGTTGATTCTGACTCATAGCAACCCTATAGGACGATAGAATTGCCCCATAGGGTTTCCAAGGAGTGGCTGTTGGATTCGAACTGCCGACCTTTTGGTTAGCAGCCTGAGCTCGTAACCACTTCACCAGCATGGTCCCACCCAATCACTTGGGTGGGAGTTACAAGACCATGGCGATAAAAGTGATCCATTGCACCACAAAGGATGATGCAATATCTACATCAGGTGAAATAGCTGTGGGATAATTGGTACATGGGTTTTAGTAAAGTTTCGGTAGTTAGAAAGTCCTAAAAATTTTTAATGACAATTTCTTGTCAAAATCCAGTTGCCATTGAGTTGACTCCCACTCCTGATGACCCCATGCATAAGAGAATAGAACTCTGCTCCCTAGGGTTTTCCATGGCTGATTTTTCAGAAGTAGATCATCAGGCCGTTATTCGAAGTGCCTGTGTGTAGACTTGAACTTCCAACCTTTCAGGTTAGCAGCGGAGTGCATTAACTGCACTATCCACGGATTCTTGGGGTAAGAACTCTTTTTAATGGTACTTAACAATTCTTGTAAATCTGGTGGTGGTGAAGAATATTGACTGTATCATGGACTGCCAAAAGAACGAACAAATCTGTCTTGGAAGAAGTACAACCAGAATGCTCCGTAGAAGCAAGGATGGTGAGATTTCATCTCACATATTATCAGGAGGGATCAGCACCTGGAGAAGGACATCATGCTTTGCAAAGTGAGGGTCAGCGAAAAAGAGGAAGACACCCTCAACGAGACGGATTGACACAGTGGCTGCAACAATGGGCTCAACCATAACAACGATTGTGAGGATGGCACAGGACCAGGCAGTGTTTTGTTCTATTGTACATGGGGTCGCTGTGAGTTGGAACCGACTTGATGGTATTTAACGAAAATAACAATCCTTGGAAACAAGGTATTTATTTTAATGTCCATGTCTTATATCCCCAAGATTATACATTCCTTTATAGTTTTTGTGACTGTTTTGGTGAAATGAGTTTCTTAATGTGGACTTTTGCCTTTCTTTAAAAAAAAAAAAAAAAAAAAAACGCTTAGGAGATTTCTCCCCGAAGCCAGATTGCCAGGCCTGTCTTGCGAGGCTTGTCTGGGTGAGTTTGAACTGCCAATCTTTTGGTTAGTAGTCCAGCACTTCACCGTTTGTGCCACCCAGGGATGCCAAGAAAGAATGGAGCAGAGCATAAGGGATGGGAAGAGATGAAAACCTTTTGACGTGCCTTGTAAGTGAACCCTTATATCAACATTGAGATCTGCACCATTTCAAAGATCCCAGGTTCTCTATAATGTGCTGAATTGAGACATGTTATTTCTCTTCATCATTCCTTCTCACTTTGCTGGGAGTGAGACTTGGCCTTTCTCCTCTATGCAGTTTCCTTAATCCCATATAGTAAGTTACAGTGAGTGTCATTCATAGAAACAGAGATGGAAATTTGTCATGCTGTTCCTATCTCAGAACTCAGTCTGAAATCCTGGGTTAGTGGGTAATTCAGTCCTTCAGAAATATTTTCAGGCACCATCACTATTTCAGGCACTTTTACACACTGAGGATACAACAGTGGAAAAACAGACAAAGAAACAGCCTTTATGGATGTTACAGTCTAGCAGGAGAGACGTACAGTAAAGTAGAGAATATGACATCAGGAAGCAGTGACTGCTGTGAAGAAAAATAAAGACCAGCAAGTGTAGAGATAGTCAGGGAGAAGTTATTTTAGTAAGAATTTTCAGGGGAGGGTTTTCTGGACAGATGTAATTTGAACCAAGACTTAAGTGTACTGAGTAGAGCCAAGCATCATCGTATTTTAAAGCAGAGAATGCAAACAGAAACAGAGAACTTTCTAAGCCATGTCTGTGAACTTCTTGCCTAAGGAGTCTCTCAGAAGCTTGCTAAAGAATGCACATTCCTGGATCTCATCCCATACCTCCTAGAGTAGGCCTTCTGGGCCCAGGGCCTGGGGTTATGCATAATTAACAAGGCTTTCTGCTGCACACTTATTTTTTTTTAATTGTGGTGAAAATATACATTAAAACATTCGCCAGCACAACAAATGCCACATTGACAATTTAATTACTGATTTTATTTTTCATGTAGTGTTAACCATTATTGCTATCATTTTCCAAAATATTCCACCACCATTAACCAAAGATCATTGCACGCTAAACAAGAGTTCCCCTTTCCCCCTCCTTCCCACTTCTGGTAAAGATTAATAATCTTTAGATTTTGTATATTTGCTTATTTCATATAAGTGAGATCATACTTGTTCTTTTGCGACTGACTTATTTCCCTCAGCATAATGTTTTCAAGGTTCATCTATATGTGGCATGCCTCAGGACTTCATTTCTCTTTAAGGCTGAGTAATATTCCATTGTATGTATATACCACATTTTGTTTATCTTTTTATGTGTTGATAGATATTTTGGTTGTTGCCACATTTTGGCACTTGTGAAGAGAGATGTAGTCAAAATTGGTGTACAGGTTTCTGACTTCTGGGTATATGCCTAGAATTGGGATTGCTAGGTTATACACACTGAAGTTGGAACATCTCTACCCTGAAGTTTGGATTATTGCTCCCCTCACCACCCTCACACTATAACAGGATGGATTCATGGCAGATACTTTCCAGCAAAGAATCTGAAATGGGTGCTCAACCAACCATGCCCACCACTCCACTTGCCTAGTGATCTGCATGTGTGGAAATCTCAGGATCTCCACTATGCTGTCATAAACACTAAGGATAAACTTCAAATGAGTTCCAATGCCTCATTTGTCAGTGTCATTCAGTTCAACACCAGCCACCCATGCAATTCTTCTATCTCTGACTCTAGCCACTCAGAGCTAGGTCATCTCACTAGTTAAAAGGACACTGTCTTAGTTATCTAGTGCTGCTGTAACAGAAATACCACAAGTGGATTGTTTTAACGAAGAGAAGTTTATTTCCTCACAGTCAAAGTAGGCTAAAAGTCCAAATTCAGGGAGTGAGCTCCAGGGAAGGCTTTTTCTCTCTGTCAGCCTTCTTCACTTCACTGTTGCCCTGGACTAGGAGCTTCTCTGTGCAGGGACCCCGGTCCAAAGGACAAAGTCTGCTCCCCGCACTGCTTTCTTGATGGTATGAGGTTCCCAATTCTCTGCTTGCTTCCCTTTCGTTTTATCTCTTGTGAGATAAAAGGTGGTGCAGGCCACACCCTAGGGAAACTCCCTTTACATCGGATCAGGGATCTGACCTGGGTAAGGGTGGTGTTACAATCCCACCCTAACCTCTTTAACATAAAATTACAATCACAAAATGGAGGCCAACCACACAACTCTGGGAATCATGGCCCAGTCAAATTATTTTTTTTTTCATTTTTAACATACATTGTTATGAGACCCCAACTGCTCACCCTATTCTGCGACAGCACACTCCTACCCTCCGCCCCGATTCCCCATGAACATTCAACCAGCTCCTAACTCCCTGCCTTCCCATCTCACCTCTGGACAGGAGCTGCCCCTTTGGTTTCTTGTATCTACTTGTCTAAGAGGAACATTCTTCACAAGTATCACTTTATGTCCCACAGTCCAGTCCAATCCCTGTCTGAAGAGTTGGCCTCGGAAATTGTTTTAGTTCTGGGATGATGGAGAGACCAGAGGCCATGCTTTCTGGGGTGCCCCCAGTCTTAGTCAGACCATTAAGTCTGGTTGTCTTACTAGAATTTGAATTCTGCATCCCATCCTTATACTGCTCCATCAGGGACCCTCTGTTGTGTTCCCTGTCAGGACGTTCATTGGTGGTAGCCAGGCACCATCTGGTTTCTTCTGGTCTCAGGCTGATGAAGTCTCTGGTTTATGTAGCCCATTCTGTCTCTTGGGCCAATACTTTCCTTGTGTCTTTGGGGTTCTTCGTTCTCCTTTACTCCAAGTGGTTGGAGCCAATTGATGCATCTTAGATGGCCGCTTGCAAGCTTTTAAGACCCAAGATGCCACTCACCAAAGTAGGATGCAGAACATTTTCTAAATAGGCTTTGTTATGCCAATTGACATAGATGTCCCCTGAAAGCATGGTCCCCAGACCCTGCATCCCTGCTACTCTGTCTCTCAAAGTGTTTGATTGTATTGAGGAAGCTTCTTAGCTTTGGTTTAGTCCAGTTGTGCTG